ATTCAGTCAGATCTTTTACAGGAGTTTTGTAGACGATGTTTTTTAAGTGACCCCACAAGAAGAAATCGAGAGGGGTCAAATCCGGTGAGCGTGGAGCCCATCGAATTGGACCACCTCTTCCAATCCACCTTTGAGGAAACTGATGATCCAAATATTGTCGTACGTCAACGGCGAAATGTGGAGGAGCTCCATCTTGCTGAAAAAAAATTGAACGGACCTTGTGTAATCTCCTAACTTCTGGAAGAAAGAAGTTTTGAAGCATTGATAAAACTTTCCATACGGACTTTTGGGACACCCTGTAGAAGCAGATTTATTGTGTTTCACATTTTTAATTCCGCAAGGAATTGTGATGAAAGCTTCTTCTTAATGTCTTGAAAGTTGTTGCTTTATTTTTTATGCGATAATCATTGTCTGTATGTACATTTAGCACAACAACAGTTTCACAATGCAATATAACAGCATGTCGTGTGCGAATCCAAAGTTATATTGCAATAAATTTGACATACGATACAATAAACTTTCCTGAATGTGATGGCTGTACCCAAGCGAATTTCTCGAATTTTCCTTCAGACTGGTCAGACAGATGGATTATTGAGAACTTCTATGTCTATTCTTCAGCCAGTATCGATTGTGATGGGAACCCATATACCGGCGATCTGGCGTTTTGTAAAGAAACATGTTTGAAAGATCTTACGTGCGTCGCCTTTTCTAGAGCTAAGAGCGCTATAGATACCGACCCAACTGCAGATTGTCATTTGAAACGTAACATTACGGTAGATCGAATATATAATGATGACACATGGCATTCAATAGTTTTCAACACCACAACATAGATTATCCAAAGAAAGGACATCATAAAAGACATTGCAGTAGTTTGTGCGTTTTCTTTCTCCATTTCTCATGTATCTGCTGTTTAATTCAAAGCTTCATTATCTTTATTTTAGTTCTTGCAGTAATACTTTATTTTCGTAATTCTGTTTTTGTCGAATAGAAGGAGAAATAAATGCGGAAAATTTGGATTGAAATCTTGAGGGTGTGTGGACGTATGTGATTGGAATTGGCGATCGGCGGCGCTCTTCCGGGAGTGGGTCCAAATTTCTGCCCTTAACACGTCAATACTCTCTGCTTCATATCGTGTTTCACAAAAGAAGAAAAGACGACTATTAACGACATTTTCATGTAATTCGGTGTCATAATCAGTGTTTCAGTTTGTTCTCCTTGGCGAATGACTTCCATCAATAACTATCAAATCACACAAGAACTTCGTAACGAAAGTACCATGTGTTGTCCAAAATTGACTACTGACTTGATTTCCGCGGCAGATTCAAAAAACACTTCGGAAACGTCTCTTTGTTCTCTAAACGCATCGCATCTTTGACAGTAAACCTGTCATTTATCATAGAGGCGTACGTAGAAAATCTTAGAAATAGACTTTTTCAAAAAAGATATACTACTTGTAATTGAAAAAAGTTATCAGAACTTACTTGGATACCGTTGAACTGGCGTTCATAACTAGAAAAAGAAAAGCTTTTCATCAATACTACACAATTATGATTAAGGATGCACCAAGTTCCAGTCAGACTGGATATAAAATGAACTGATTTATCATATACTAATTTTCTAATAGTTTCTACTACACTAATATATTTATCTTCTGATAACAATAGAAATGTGTGCTTAGTTTATCCATGTCAGATTATAAGGCATTCAAATGCTAATAAAAAGGGAATCTCGCCAACTGATACACTCCGTTGAGGCTCATATTTCGGTCTTAGGTATGGTTCATAATGTAGATAGATAACTCTACGAGAATTCTTGCCCACGCTTCTTTTCTGCTGAGAAACGAACACAGCAACTTTCTGTGAAAATGACATGATTGTATTTTCTATTAAAAATTCTTTTGACATCTCAATACAATATTTTCGCAAGTCCTTTTCATACTGGTTTTGCGCATAGTTACTTATTGTAAAATAGCAGAATATTACTTGTTAGTGTTTTTTGATAACGAGAAGAGGCTAACACATATAGCAAAGAGAAACGAAATAAACAAACAAGGAAATGGTTAATCATTCTGCCAGTAATGAAAATCCAAAAAATGATTGAAGCACAATTCCTGTTAACACCAAGAACATCGGATTATTGGTCCACCAAGAGAACGTTTTTTCGTGACATTCATCTGTTTGAGATACAATGCAGATGTCTTTCACATTTTGAAATGGGCCTAGATCATATTTTAAAAGTCCGCTGTTAAACCAAGCATATTTTATCATATCGCGGCATATTCTTCATTATGATTGATAGAATATGGCGAATTACAAGGTACCGTATTTAACATTAACTTCGATAATACTTATTAAAATTGAGATTTTAAGTGATATGATAGGCAACTCTACCAATTCCACCACTAATATGATACATTGTCATCCATTTGTACGTGTCGTCAACTAAGTTGACATCATTAGTATCAACTCCACTACCAATACTAATTTTATTTGATTCCCTATAATTATCACTATATGAAAAAAAAAAAAAAAAAAAAAAAAAAATAACTCCACCACGAAGATCATAACCCAATGACTTTCGTGCCGGTCGCAAGTCCGGAAAAAGGAGGAGTGTTGAACGGAAGGGGTGCAGATACCGCCGTTTGTAAAAACAAAAAGACGACAGAAACCAATCATGAACGGTCATTTTTCGAAACTATACCGGCTCGGACGTCGCCCGGGTGAACAAGGTCCGCGTCCTCTGTCGTGGGACCAGGACAGAGTCGAAAAGTTGGCTACTGGAACAACTGTTTCGTCAGAAACACCAACTATTCAAAGAACAATAAGAACAACAACAACAGCAGCAGCACTAACGACAACAACAGCTCAATCAATATCAACATTAACAAACACATACAAACCAGCCTCCAACAAATTGAAAATAGCGAAGGATGTCTTCACTATCGGTACATGGAATGTTCGTACGTTATGGGCAAGTGGGAAACTGGAATTATTAAGAAACGAAATGAAACGATATAAACATGACATTGTTGGCATTTCAGAAGTGCGATGGACAGATAAAGGAGAAACAACAAAGGGGGATTTTATCTGGTCAGGTGAAAGCAGCGCACATGTTAGAGGAGTAGGCATGCTACTCAGCACAAGGGCTCAAAAAGCAATGATGGGTTACAATCCAATAAATTCACGAATAATTACAGCAAGATTTATGGCAATACTATTCAACATAACAGTTATCAATGTTTACGCTCCAACAGCTGAAGCCTCAAAAGATGACATGGAAACATTCTACGATGATTTAGAAAATGCAATATTAAAAACGCCAAAAAAGGATATACTTATCATAACTGGTGATTGGAATGCAAAGGTAGGTGACGACAACAGAGGCTGGGAAGGTGTAATGGGCAAATATGGTTATGGACAACGAAACGAACGCGGTGAACAACTATTAGAATTCGCAACATCACACAATCTATTCATTTGCAACACAGCTTTTCAACAAAAACCAAATCGGAAATGGACATGGGAATCACCGGATGGCATACACAAGAATATGATCGATCTGATTCTTGTTCAACAACGCTGGAAATCATCAGTCATCAACTGTAGAACATTTCAAGGAGCTGATATCAGCTCTGATCATTCTTTAGTCTTGTGCAACATAAAACTAAGATTGAAAAGTCTATCAGCAAAAACAAAACACAATCAACGACTCAACACCAAACAACTCCACAATCCAACAACACAACACCTATATCAAACTCAGCTTGAAAACCTTCTAAACAATATGGACACCAACTGCAGTATGGACGAACATGCCCTACAAATAGAACAAGCAATAAAAAGAGCAGTACAAGCAAACACAACAACTCAAAAAGCAATAAGAAAACCATGGATTTCACTTCATACACTCAATTTGGCAGAAGAAAAGCGGAAGGCAAAGCAAACAAAAAATACCTCGCCATTGGCAAACGAAAGATACAAAAACCTCTGCAATCAAGTAAAGAAATCGGCAAAAATGGACAAAAACAACTGGATACAAGAACAATGCGATGAAATTCAAAAGGGACTGGAAGTAGGAAATAGTAAGCAAGCGTATCAAATGGTAAACTTGCTTAAGAAAAAATATGTGCCAAAACTGAACATAATCCAAAACATCGATGGGTCTTTATCACAAACCAAACAGGAAGTACTACAAACTTGGACAACGTATTGTACTCAATTATATAAAGATAAACATGGCGTTAATAATAAAATGGTCGACGAATTAGAAGACATAACACCACCAATCGACGACGATTCAAATGGTATTTTATATAGTGAAGTGGAAAACGCCATAAACAAACTGAAGAAAAACAAGAGTCCAGGCAATGATGAGATCACTGCGGAAATGCTTCAAGCTGGAGGAGAAAGTCTGATACGCAAAATACATGAACTGTGTAATAGAGCATGGAATGAGGAGAACATTCCTGAGGAATGGGGAAGATCAATCTTAATACCGATCCCTAAGAAAGGAGACCTCAGTCAATGCTCGAATTACAGAACAATCTCCCTCATCAACCATACTGGGAAAGTTCTGCTTATGGTGTTACTAAATAGACTAAAGCACCAGTTAGACCCGTTCCTATCCGAGGAACAAGCGGGTTTCAGGAAGGACAGAAGCACAGTTCATCAAATTTTGATACTCAGACTTTTAGCAGAAAAAGCAAAACGCAACGGTAAGAAAATCTACAATTGCTTCATTGACTTTCAAAAGGCCTTTGATACTATCAAACATGAAATCATATGGGCAGTTCTCAAATCGTATGGTGTCAACAACAAGGTGGTAACATTACTGGAAAAGATATATGGAAAGTCTCGATCAGCAGTTCGAATAGGAACAGACCTTGGTGACTGGTTCCAATCAAGCGTCGGAACCAGGCAAGGTGATCCATTATCACCACTTCTCTTCATTGCTTATTTAGAAAGAATCATGGACCAAACAACGTCAACAAACATCGGAATCAAAATCAGTGGAACTTACATTAACAATCTAAAATTTGCTGACGATATTGACCTTTTGAGTGAGGATCATATCTCACTCCAAGATCAAATCCTACAAATAACAAATGCGGCAGAAGAAGGGGGTCTCTTGATAAACATCAAGAAAACAAAAACAATGGTGTTTGGTGCCAAAAATATTGATAAACAAGTGGAAGTCAATGGTCAACACATCGAAAATATAGAGGAGTTTGAATATCTGGGAAGTCTGTTAACATGGGACAATAACTGCTCGAAAGAAATAAAAAGACGAATTAACAAAGCAAATGGTGCAATGGCAAGTATGAAACATATGTGGGCTACTGGCAAACTCACCATCGAAAGCAAGATAAAACTACTGAAAACCTGCGTATTTAGTGTGCTACTCTATGCCTCGGAAACATGGACACTAAAAGAGACTGACAAACAGAAATTATTAGCTTTTGAGATGCGATGCTATCGAAGAATACTTCGAATTCGGTGGATGGATATGGTAAAGAATGTTGATATTCGAAAGCGAATTGGTGCGCATGAAACAATAACAGATGTCATCAAAAAGCGGAAACTAAGACTTTTTGGACATATATGCAGGATGGATGACAGCAGACTCCTCAAACACGTGGTTTTCTCTCGAATACACGGGAAAACAAGAAGAGGACGTCCATGTAGAGAATGGCTGGACGACATCACGGACTGGTGTGGTCGCAGTTGTAGAGATTTGGTTCACCTTGCGCAGAGCAGGTACCAGTGGAAGAATCTCATCCGTACGGTGATTGGCCCCAACGGGCATTAAGCCCACGGGACATTAGGATTAGGATTAGGAAAACAAAATGTATCATATTGATAGTGGAATTGATAGAGTTGCTTATCATATCATTTAAAATCTCAATTTTAATAAATAATTTGCCTAAAATTCAAATTTTTCAATTAGATAATACTTTAACCATGTTGTGAGGAGTAATCATTTGTATTGTTTAGAAATCTAGATAGTAATCAAATAAAAATATACTGCCTACTAGTTAATCTTAAGGGTGATGGGCGATTAGCAAATTGTTAGTCAGCAAAAATATTTATGTACCACCTGTTTTACATGTTTGCTATTTTAAACAACGTGTATATATATGGGTAGTTCCACCAGGTTTCTCCCACTTGAGGGTGAGGGTGTGGGTATATATGTATAAGTAAAACTAAATCTATTTCTATTCCTAAACTCACAGGGGTGTGGGGGTATGCATGTATAAGTAAAACTAAATCTATTTCTATTCCTATCTACTCATTTGTTATAAGTGTGATATAGGTATCTATTTATATTCAAATTGATACTGGCCTGTCGGGGTCGACTTATAATATAAGTCGAATTAGGCATCTCATGTCTATATGATTGCTTTGAAGTTTGAAGAAACAAATCTACAGATTAGTTGTCAACCTTTGAAAATAATTATGCAAAATATTTTATACACTGTTCCCTTTNATAAGAAGTTCTAACCTAATCTCTACGCTGGAAAATTCAGAATTTTCGCTATACCGAATAGGCGGAAACCGCCAAAGCTCATGAGGTAAACCAAATTTGCTATGTCCCTTCAGACACTCATAGCTATCGCAACAAACATGAGTGGAAGTTACTGTTGAAGAAAAAGAATGACTAAAATGAAAGCGTCATCACCGTCACCGTCACCCTCAAGATGAGTGAAAAAGCTTTTTTGGTGAGCAGGAAAAATAATTTCAAAATAATTCGTGCACAATCGTGTTTCTTGTTGCTAATGTTGTTTCATTTTCAGTATACAATCGTTGTCAATATTGACGGAACATGATGGATTCCAGTTATCATCTAGACATTCAATCGGGGTAGCATGAATTTCGCCGTAATGACTTTCGCCGTACAGTTAAAATGTTGGTTAAAAAGATATTTACTCAATTCAGATAGAGTTCTCACACTCACCTAGTGCTGTGTGTGCGCACTAAACGTGTTAATGAGTGTAGAAACTTTTTTTAAGGAAAATAAATGGTTGTGACAGTCTATGGCGAATATCAGTACGGCGAAATTCGCGTTTCCCGTTAAATATATGCTAAGGGTAGATCTGGTAAGTAAGAGACAAGGATAAGTAATTAAATATAGAATCAATAAAAAGTGGAATGTGAAGCGACTAAAATCAGCTGTTCTCTGGAGGGCTAGCACGAGTTTTACGCAAATCGAAGAAAGTTTTGAATAAAGCCAGATTCTGCTCCAACCATAAAAGATTCTTAAAATGGTACGAAAATCTTCAACCTTTTACATATCAGTGTGCCGCCTTTTTTAACAGTAGACCGAATCGACATGAAATCTATATGCAACTTATATGCAATCCCGCTGAAATTCGCTGAAATTCAGTCGATATACACCTTGCCAGATAAATAGCGCTCGTCGAGATTGACTCGCTTGACCTTCGACTGGAATAGTAACTCATCGTACAATATTCTCCATTTACGTCTCACACCAAAAACGCAGAAATATCTCATTAAACCTGACTTCTCGAGTGCGATCCTCCTTTATCGAAAATTTTACGAACTAATTTCGGGATCGTTATCTTTCTCTTTATTTAGCACAGATTTCTAAACAAAAGTCACCATCAAAATGAAATGGTAACCCCCTAAGAGCGGGTAACCTGAACTTTCCACTGTTAAACATGCCTCCATTTTTCAACAAAACGATGACTCGAGAGAAATAACATACAATTGTCTATATTTTTCAGAACCAAACTAGCTTGAATTTTCTCATTTCTGCAACAGAATATGTTACCGGGAGCAGCTCATCGTTCTCATGTATATTGATTAGCAACTGATCTGATCCAACAAAATTGTTAACTGATCATAGTTTATTCTTGGCCCATGCGTTTGCAGACAAGTCTGAAAGAAACAGAATAGCTATTTTGTTTCATTATCATATATTGTCCTCACGTCTTCAACTCGTTAAAATTTTAACTATAGAATGCTATCCAGATCTCTTAGATCGATTTTCAAATCTCATAGCTTATAAAGAAAGATTCTTGGATACTCTCTTTAGGGCTAGGATCGTGAACACACGATTCGAATCAATGTGGAAGGTGAGAACGAAACAGTTTTTTAACACTTCTCCTAGTAGAATGTAATTTAACTTCCAAGATGTAGAACACATATTCCCCAAACATTCGATCAATTTTATATTATTAGATGTAATCTCTTTGAATCGAGGGTACCAGTAAGAAAGCAAGGTATCAACAGAACATTACCGCCTCTCTCCCGAAGTTCTACAGAGATTGCAGGAACTCGTGTGATGTGATGCCTCTACGAAATCTAAGTAATATACCCCTCCCAAAGGATACAAATTTGCTTTCCAAAAGGTTTCGAAAAATGTTCCCTTGACCTCTGATCCTTAACCTTGAGATGTTTCTATCACATATGGTCATGTCTATGGATATTCCTTTTAATCTTCGTGAGAGTTCGAAAAAATGCTTTCGCGATCTTTGACGCCGAGTGTGTATGGTCCTTTGCCCCGAGTCCCCTTCTACCAACCTTGAGCCTCAAGACCTCTCGCAAACCATGTTTCATGAAGTGTTCAGCGTTTTAGAAAAAAAAATGTTTTTCGCCTTTTGTCTCTGACCTTTAACCCGACATCTTTCGGATGTCACAGATAACATCTGGTCTTTCCGCATGGTACACGATCACCATTTTAACTGCATTTTCGCTCTCGCCGTCTGGTTAGCCAATTTCGACCAATCACTTGCTGACGCTCGTTTTTCCGAAAAAATGATTTTAAAGCCAGTTCGGTCCTACAAAAGCCTTGGATGTTTATTTCATGCTTGGCTCTTAACCTCTCACTTCTGACCTTCACCCTTCTGGCCCGATCATCCAATAACACTTTTTGATTTCCGCATTTTCCCTTTAGACCTTTCACCTATGAACTGAGGCAGACATATAGAGGCACACAAACCAATTTCCGCTACTTGACCGCATTGTTTCCAGATGGTCCTCCTGCAAATCAAGGCAGTCAGATAACGTTTTAATAGATGATGGGAAGCGAATAAATTACAATGACCTATTTTCTGGAACCCTAGCACCACCTTTTACAAAAATCGAAAAACAATTCGAAATAAAACAGACGATGCCTCGACCATCAAAGGTTTTCGAAGAGCACCCAAATCTCGAACTATTTATGCCTCACTATCACCCCACTTTTTACAAATTAGAGGAAAACCCAATGAACTATGCTTGAAACCTATTAGCCGCGACCGTAAAATTCTACCCGAATACCCTAGAATCCTACTGAAATCCAGAGCCCATGGGCTTCAAATCACAGTCATTCCATGTACGCATAATCATCCTGAAACCCACTGAAACTCAGTTCACATTCACCTTATTCCCTAGAAACTCCTGGGTTCCGCAAGAATGCCAATAATCACATTCAGATTTTGAATCTGTCGGCTAATCATTCACCGTTTTGTTCTGCAGCAGTAAGTAGTATAAATAGGGGTGTTTTCTCGCTATTTAGGAGTGTTTCGATGAGGTGACTTCTGAGAGATTTCTATGGAGAATCAAGCGAAATCCATCGCACAAGATCGAAAGCATCGATTAGACTAGAAATCCCAGAAAATAGATTTAGATTTTGAATCCGTCGACTAATCATTCACCGCTTTGTTCTGCAGCGGTAAGTAGTATAAATAGGGGTGTTTTCTCGCCATTTAGAAGTGTTTCGATGGGGTGAGTTCTGAGACATTTCTGTGGAAAATCCAGCAAAATCCAGCAAAATGCCATTGAAATCCAGGCGAAATCGGATGATTGGATATAATTTATTTGTGTACCAAAAATCTCCTGAAGATATTTATTGACATTGCATTTGATTTAGCGTTGTTGGATACGGCGATATCCCGCCGGGATACGACTGAGGTCGACTCGTTTCCGACGGGTTCCGTTGTGTTTCCGACTATTTCCTTGTGGGATACTGGACGGTCCCGCTTTTGTACGGCGGCCGGATTTCTGTAGTTTTTGGTGGGTTCCGGTACGGGTGATTTCCGGTGGGAATACTGCTTCCATTTTCCGTATGGCTTTCCGGCGGGTTCCGTTGTTTTCCTGGCGCGGAAACGACGGGAAGATGCGGGAAAAGACCACAGTTCCTGGAGGATCCCGCCGGATCCAGTCACCGGAATCATTGACCTGGGCGGCTAGCAGTTGCCATGCTGTCTCTGTTATTCCTTTCGCCTTTGATCAACTTCCAAACTGAACGATTGAGTTTTCCTTTATTGTCGCTTCGACAGTCATGATCTTCTATTCATTCGACTACCCAAAGAAACTAGATAAGAAGGTCTTATTATATGATTTGCTTCGAAACGAACATCTCTCATAGCGCTGCATGTGTTCAGAATACTATTTCCACAGTCCACGCGTCTGTAGTTCCTAAGATGAAATTTCACCGACGGGTATATCGCTTTGTGAACTACTTCTACTAAATTCCCATAAAAAGACATGATGTCTGTAGGCTACAAAGCAAAGATGATACTAAGCTCATATCACTTTTTCGGATTTCTTGAATTAGAAACATCATCATGTACAATGCATTAGATCTTTTCGTGAAAGTTTTTGAGCTACTATCTTTGTACACATGACGTCCGTGAATAGCGTTCAGCTCACCATCTTCTACAAAAGATTTCAGAACAGATAAAGAAAAAATATCTCCTTTGTAAACAGAAAGGAACAAGCCCAGGGTCAGCGAATAAGACGAAATTCATCCTCAACTTCGAATTTCTCGACGTCAGAAACCCTTCGGTCTACTCTGACAATGGATGTTGATAAGTCGTGGCTAGTTAATGAAAAACTAACCTCAGATTCGAGATCCTCGACCCCAATTACCCTTCGGTCAACCCTTACTTGACAATAACAAAATTTTTCATTTCCTAATTAGTAATTAGCTAATTAGCTAATTAGAATTTCGAGAAACCGACACCGGATTTGAGATACCCGACCTCGATTACATATGGTGACTCATTCCCGTATGACCATCGTAAAGTTTTCTTTGAGTTGTCAAATGTTGTAATCTGATTGGCTTGGACAAACAGACAGAAAGACAGACAGACAAACTTTTAGCATTTCGAGCCGTCGATTTAAGCGCTGTATAACCCTTTCTTTCAGAAAAGGAAATAATCATTCTAACCAACTTACTTTATCTATAATAATTTTCACCATATTTTGTTATCTATGTGACGAAAGTTTTTTACTTGACGATAAGACTGTCGTCAAAAAAGAAAATCTTATCTTACAAGATGGTAGGTGAGAGTGAGATGTGAATGACATATTTTAGCCATTATTTCTTGTTCTTGGATATAAAACTATCAACTAAAAATTTATATCGAGAATTACATGGATTTTCGAATATTATTCGATTAAAAACCGCGTTGTTCACAAAAAAATCAAAGGAAATATGGAGAAAAAATTTCGATGTGTCGAAATGCGTTAGTATTATGAAGTAGTGGCTGTAACATTGCTACATTTGTTCAAAAACACGGATACTTTTTCCGATTGACTATTCGTAACAATTACATCGATCTTGTTGTCTTTATTCAGATCCCCAATCGCAATATCACTTGGTTGAACACCAGTTGCATATTTAACCTGCGACGAAAACGTTCGATTTCCATTCCCCAATAGAACACTGATGGTATTATCACCGTAATTAATCGTGATCACATCTAAATATCCATCATTATCTAAATCTGCCGTTGTCGCCTTACTAGGATATTTGCCAACTGTTTGATTTAGTTGTTGAGAAAATGTTCCATCGCCTCTGCCAAAAAGAATAGTTACAGTATTTCGACCATAGTTAGTAACTACTAAATCGAGGAAACTATCATTATCCAAGTCACTTGACACTGTCGACGATGGTGCTTTACCGACGAAATAATCCGCCTTGTGCTGAAAATGTCCACGGCCATCACTCAGATAAGTGCTGATACTATTATTCCCTGGATTAACAAACACCAGATCGATGTTTTTGTCACCATTCAAATCAGTGGATATGAAAGATATCGGTCTACTGTCAACTACGATGTCACCTCCTTTGTGAAAGACTCCAGTGCCGTCACCCAGAAATACTTTGATGTGATTGTCAGCTACAATAATCACTGCAATATCTAGTTTATTATCATCGTTCAAATCACTTGTTACTATAGCTATCGGAGTGTTATTGAGTAAATAGTTGACGGCATCGAGAAATATACCTGATCCATTGCTGATTAAAACGCTGAAACTAGTGCTATTGGTGTTAATTACCGCTAGGTCTAATTTTTGGTCGCCATTGAAATCAGCGGTTACCAGAGAGTCTGGTGCTACGCCAACACTATATGTTAACGGAGTACGAAATACGCCATCGCCATAATTATATAAAATACTAATCGTGTTGTCATATTGATTGCTCACTGCTAAATCTAGTGCCTTATCTTTGTTTAAAGGTCCCAAGATTATAGATGACGGATATGAACCTGTACCATAAGAATACTGTTCAGTAAAAGCACCATATCCTGTGCCAAGAAAGATCTTCACTTTATTTTCATTAGAGATGGTTACTATAAAATCTGAATGTCCATCATCATCAAAGTCAGTTACCACGACAGCCGTTGGGTTATATCCAACATATACTGTTCCACTTGATGTATATGTTGGCGTACTAGATGCAGCTTTATATGAGCTACTATCATCTTCAAATGACCTGCTACCACTGCCAGATGATCCACTACCATCTCCAGATGATCCACTACCATCTCCGGATGATCCACTGCCACTACCACTACCACTACCACTACCACTGCCACTGCCACTGCCACTGCCACTGCCACTGCCAGAATACGATCCGCTACCGTAGTAATAGTACCCGCTACCACCTTGATATGGATATCCAAATGATCCATCGTTATTTCCAAACAAAATGTTGAGATATCCACCGTATGTGGACGCTACAATTAAATCCAATTTCGTATCATTATCAAAATACCCGGATACTAAAAAGGATGGATAATAGGTTGCGTACGATACTTTAGGATAATTAAAAGTTCCATTTTCATTGCCAAGTAGGACGTTAACAGTGCCATCGACTTGAATCGTCACAGCAAGGTCCAAGAAGGAATCATTATTAAAATCGTCCGTTATGACCATATACGGTGAGTAACTAAGACCATATGTAACTGGATATTGAAAAGTACCATTTCTCTGACCAATCAAAACTGAGACAATATTATCATACGTGTTAGTTACTGCCAAATCTAATATATTATCATCATTAAAGAGACCTACTGCTATCGACGATGGATTAGGATTCACATAAAATGTGTTCCAAAGTGAAAGTGACCCATCACCAGCACCTACGAATAACCGAGCATAGTTTTCATATTGATCAAGAACTACCACGTCCAGTTTTGCATCGCCATTGAAGTCATTAGCAACAATACAAAATGGCGATTGGCCTGCGTCATAGTCGTTCCCCACCGTAAGTCCTCCGTTCCCATTGTTAATCAACACACGAATGGTGTTATCATCACGATTTGCTACGACTATATCCATAAGACCATCACCATTATAATCGCCCGATGCCATTGCCACAGGCGACGCACCAGTGTCGCCTCGAGCAATATTTAAACTTCCATGTCCGTCACCAACTAAGAGACCAACGTTATTATCTTTCGTGTTGGACACCGCGATATCGAGTTGTTGAAGATTCGTAAAGTGTCCTACTACTAAAGAACTTGGCGATCGTCCAGTGTTGTAAAAGTCACTCGCTTGAAACGGACTTGTACATTTAATCACTGAAAAAAAGAAATCGACATAAAAACATCTGTGTCTATTGAAAATAGTATTGAAGCGAAACAAGCAAATCATACGTGTTGATTTAGTATTTGATTTTGTCCCTAGTACAACACCCACAACAACCCCAACGATGATCAAAATGGCCAACGCACAGAACGGAATCATAAATCTCTTCTTCCGATACCAAGGACGGCTTACGAATAAAAGAAAAACAAAAGTGAATATCCTAAGACAAGAAACTTTACCTGATTTTCGGATAAATATGTGCACCTAAAGCATAAAACGATCTAGTTCGAATCATATTCAAATAACATAATACCTGGATAGGGTGGTTCGAGTAATGTCTCTTCCGGAATAACTTGCTTCAAATGAATAATAAAAAGTTGAGCAGCTGGCGAAAGTTGTGACTGAACGACCATATGAGTACCCGGTAAAAGTAAAATTTCATCTTCTGTAACAAAGTGTGAATGTGCTTTGATGGTTCGACCATTGATCGCTTCAACTGAAAACAATGTTCGATCACCTCGGTTACCTAAATACATATTGTTTTCCAGTACAGTCATTTCACTTGTTGTTGACGAAAATGCCCACCACGTGATGCTTGTGCCATGTTGAAAATCTTTACTTAAGTTCTTTGTTACACCTCTCCAAACAGTCAACGGTGGAACACACGGTAATTTAACAAGAGCAGTTATGAACAATTTCAAATATTTGTAATAGGGTAAAAGCTTTTCTCGATCGAGATTTTTCAAGTGAAAATTTACCATGGAATAAAGACTTCGATGTGGATGATCCCATTCGATTGTGTAAAGACGAATTGCAGCACTCTCATCGATTGTTAAATCATCCGGTGGAGCATCAGGTGTTTTACTCAATGCTAATTCAACATAGAATGACACATTATGTAGAAGATCAGTTAGTGGTTCACATGCTTCAACAAGGGATACAAGAGGCTCTTCAGCATATCCAGCAATAGGATTTACTGGCTCCATTTCTACAATTGATACGTCTTTCGGACTATCTTCGGTTGCTTTTTTACTGGGGTCTGCATCTGGTTCATCGACAAGCACTCGTTGTCCTCGAATTGGTGGTGCTTGAATCTGATCTCTTTGTTCATCAACAAGTTTATCAGATGAAACGGGTGGATCTCTATTTCGTGAGTATCGATGGAAGTCATTTGATTGATCATCAACTTCAGCTGCTGTTAACATCGTTTGTACTCGAGCATTTTTACTTTTGACATGTCGTCGAGGATAATCGTTTTCATCTGGTGTGAATGAAGTTTGGATACGAGCATTTTTGGTTGTTACACCTTGTCGATATAAGATTATTTCATCATCAGATGAAACTTCTAAGTACGGAGCGGTTTTTGATCTATGTCTACCGTCTAAATAATCCATTGGATTACTGATACTGAAAAAGAAAAGAAAGATGGATAAAGAAGAAAATAGTGCGACATGCATGGAACATGTACAATCAAGTGCATAAAATAAATGATTATATTTATTTGCCCTCCAATACGCTAAATGACCAAAGTACGTCATGCTTTTCTTCTGTAATTACAAAATATATAACGAAAAATGCATTTTCCTCTCTTATCTGCCTACTAATCTCATAAAGATAGATAAATAACGCAATAAAATCTTGTTTTTTTCTATTTTCCTTGGTGCGTTTTGTACATATGCATATCTATTTCTTTTTACTTTCCGTCGAGAAAATTGGCGATGTGACACCTGTTACACTTAACCAATGATCCGTCCTATTGCCCATAAACATGTAAATAATTATAATAGCAACAGGTATTTTACACACGTGTTTCTTTCTAATCTTACTGTTTTATACAGTTTCGTCTTTTTTTCTGTACCTTTTTTACCAGTAATCAAATATGACGATGTCAACTGGAAACGGAACGAGCGATCATTTAGGTACTTTTCTAACACCATTCCAAAATCCTCGACGGATGAGAGAGAAACTATTCGCCCGAATGATATTATATCTGAACGATTAAAGCTCTAACAGATGATGAGATAAAGGCGAACGTTCGCATTGTAGAATACGTTTGATTGATTTGCTAATCTCACTGTGAGTTCTCTTCGTGTTTAAACATCGTTATTACAATACGTTCGGTTTAATTAAACTTTCGTGTGATCCATTTTAAGACAACGTTTGCATATGGATATGCGGCAGTTACTAAATCTAGTAGCACGAAACGTTATTTCAGTATTATATACAAGAACACCAATCGATATGAAACATAACAGAAGTATGTTTTACTATAGAATAGATGAGCTTTTCATTGTGCACAAGCATTTGAATAGAGGCGCCTGAAATACGGCAATGCCTTCGTCTAACAAAAATGAATCTGCGATTGTTCAGTTGAAGCATACTTATAATAAAGTGTAAAAAGTTCATCAACGTTAAAAATTGAATTGTAGTATTAGTTAGAGTCAATTTTCAGCTTCGTAATTGATTCTTGCTGTTCGACGAGTAGCTCGATGCAAATGTCGCACGGCAAACAACGCTTGTTAACAACGTATACCAAATTTTACTATTTGCGAGATTCGCTCGTGATTATCGAGACATTCTACTTAATTTTTAGTGTTTTTCGTTGCGATGGATCATAATCAATAAATATAACAAGCTTACCATTACCTACATATTTATTTCTTCCTTTTTTCGAGAGAAGCAATAATCTTCTTCCCCTGATAGTAGAAACAAAGCCAACTACAAAATATACTTGAGTAAACTGTTGATAAAATGGAAATCACGAGTGCTATTCATTGCAGTTGTCTTTCTTTCATTCACTACATCACATTTTGTTGTACTTTATTTTTTCATTTGCATTATTTCTTAGCTCAAACCACACAACTATCAGAGCATTATTCATGTTCTAATGCAAATGTTGATGTCACATTTACATTATCTACGTCAAGTCATTCTGCATATGATTTGGCATCAAATTGTTCTCTACAAAAATATAACACCTTCTATAATATCAGTGAGACTTGCCATTCGTCATTGACGCCGTGTTTTGCCTATCGTTCAGAAGATAATAATACGTATTATGCTCCTGGTATTCTTTGTTCTGAAATAGAACCATGCGATCACGTTACACATACATGTACATCAACGGGATCGATATGTGTTGTTGACTCGTGTTGTTCATCGCATGCCATATGTTTGCCATTGGCGGTAACAAGCTTCTGTAAAAAAGGTAATGCTGAGTCTGTATTCAGAGTGTATCGACATGCTTTCGCTGCTTTGTTTCAGGATAGCATAGCACTGGAAATATGACTTTTGCACGAGTTGATTTCGCCGCCTCTCTGTTAACTAATGGAAAAGTATTAGTGATCGGTGGGTATAAGAAGAGTGCTGAAGTATACGATCCATTTACAGGAACATGGACCAGTACAAATAGTATGAATTATCCACGCCATAGCCATGTAGCAATCGCACTTAGAACCGGTCAAATAGTGATCACTGGTAGATCGTTTCCAACTAACGCTGAGTTATATGATCCGTTGACAGAGGTCTGGACAATGACGGGTGCTATTAGTTATCAAATAAGTTACCACGCTGCATGTTTGTTATTCAACGGAAAAGTGCTAATTAGCGATGGATTCGATGGTCGTACTGTTCGCAGTAGTGCTGAATTGTATGATCCATCTACAGGTGTCTGGACTGCAACCGGAAATATGAGTACTCGTCGTATTAAGCAATGGTAAAGTGTTAAGCAAACGGTGGATACAGTAATATTAACCTAAATAGTGTTGAAATATATGACCCATCGACAGGAGTTTGGACGCCCGTTGAGAATATGGCGTATGCACGCCGTGACCACGCAACATTTGTGTTGTCAAATGGGGAACTGCTAGTGAGTGGTGGACGAGGTGACAGTGAAAGTATGTTGAATAGTGCTGAATTATTTTACTAATCTGAAATAAATTGATCAGTATTTATTGCATTCTCAATATTATAAATAAATTTGACTATAAATATTGTTTAGTTTGAAAAATTTGTCCTTGGAGCGACAACAGTTTAATTAGCTAGATACCCCCAAACTAGATCTTCGTAGACATCATTCACGGCTTTCAAATGAAAAACTACTCTTGTATCTTTTACTCTGCTAGTTGTAAGTTCGTTTAGGATTGAGAAAAAGTCTCAACAAAAAATTCTTAATCAAATTCGGCGTGATAGGCCGTCGGAGTAAGCTTGTCTATTCGGTGGCTTATCGCCTTATCTATTCAACGCAATCAAAACCCTTCGAAACATTCCATATCAAACTTGGGTGTATTATATGAATGGTCAGAGATTCGTTAATATTTCTTGGAAGCTTTGTGAAGAAAGTACGAAGAACGTAACGAAACATATACATTTCTCATTAGGCATGCAACGGTGACGGTGGACCGGTGGACGATGGGCCGGTGTTTTAATAAATAATGAATCGCCACTAACTTCAGTACTGTAAAATAGGCATCTAAATACCAGTCCATGCATGTCATACATTTGAATATCAAATGTTAACAATTATGTGGAAAAGGTGCACAACAGAGATGATAAATTATGAATACTGGGTCACATCTGAAATTAATCTCGCTATACATCTATCGAACCATGATGGACATTTTCCTATACCAACTCTTTTCTTCTACATTTATACTTTCTTTCGTTCTCTCCCGTTCTACTGTCACGTACTTTTTCGGTTACGAACATGTACACCTTTAGTAGACAGTTGATGTTGTTAGAATTCTTTCCTTGATCAGAACAAAAATGATTAGAGAACGAAATACATTCCACCATAGTTCTTCTCTGTTTATAACAACGGAGTATTGTTGATTCATTCATTTTTTCAACAATATAAACATGCGTGCATAAATTTGAATTAGTTGAGCTATCGCGAACCAACAAGACCATTATTAGCTTAAATTATAACTACCTCTTCATTGTGAGCTATTAAAAAACTCAATGTTTTGGGTAATGCATTTGAAGGGAAAGAAGTTGAATAGTTAGCTTATGCATTGCAACACAAGAAGGTATATCTTGTCTATTTCTAACATGGATACTTACAATTTTTTACAAAGACACTCAACAATATCCTCATCCATGAATATGACATTTCCAACGCTTTTGCCAATCAAACAAAGACTTTCCTGAAGGGAATCTTTTGGCTAATCGTCGGCATAGACCGATACATAAAAATTATCAATCTAAAGAACTCCACTTTTTTCATGGTAAACGTCAATAATAATGTATAATTTATCAGATCATTTCACCTTCAGGTGTTGCAGCGAGAGGTTATACAAAAGCGGGGTTCAAATAAAAATTGAATGTAGAATTTTAGCTTTGTTCTGTGAACCAAGAAATTAATTGGGAATGTATTTAAAAGTCTAAAAGAAATATGAACTGAGTGGTGATTGTATATGAAACGTCTCGAAAACAACTGCTTTGATGTCTCGTTGCGACAAGTGCGAACATACGAACCAACTTCGAAAGAAAATGAAAAAGTGATTGAAAAAATATGATAAAAATAATTGAAATTTGTAAATAAGTAATCAATATCTCTTAAAGCATTAATTGTTGCAGTGAATATTTTTTTCTATACATAAAGAAATCTCTCTACAATACTTGTGGAATAGTGTTCTGCCATTTTTCTAAATAAAATCTCAATAGTCTCAATGGCAAAATAAAACAAACCCACATAAATGCTTTACAAACACTTTTTTCGTCCGAAAGAAGACAGGTGATTTGTGCTTACGTTAGAACAATGAAGATTACGATGACTTTCAATAAAGACTAGTATTCTTAAGTAGGAGGATGTATGCAAATTCATTATCATCTACTCACATGCTTATCTTCTCGATAGAAGTTACAGGAGAGTATCATCGGCATTGTATTTTATAGGTCATCTTGTGTCGTTCTCGAAATTTTCAATTACATTGGATGGAAATAATTCAACGACGTCGTTGTCTGAAGAGTAATATGTATTTCTATAGCTTTGCTGTAATTAAAATTCCTTGAATAAGGTCTTTTTAGTTATATAAAAGATTGAAAAATATTCGATCATTCACACATACGTTCGAATTTCTCATTAGTGGTAGTCGAAATGAACAAATATAATCTATCGAATGATGGATCGTTATGGTCGTAGTACCAGCAGAATATCGATGGACAAACAAAGTAATTATATCAGCAAATCCAATCAAAATACTCGGTTATTTTCTTCACCTCAGGTAACACATTTCACTGATCAACAACAATATTCAAAACATGTAACTCAAGCACCATCCGTTTCATCATCATACTGTGAACCCACATGGAATAGTTATGCGAAATGGATACTAGTATGTCATGTATGAGTACATCATTACTATTATTTGCAGACACGGACCGATCAATCGCATGAAAAATGATAAGGAAAAATGTCGCACGACTTGGTATATTTATCTTGGACTCTTGTTAACAGCCATGTTCTCGTCGACTTTGGCAATGAGTACTTATGCATTGGTTCGTGTACAGAAATTGAGAACTATAGGTAAAAATTTTGTTTAATTCATGAGGTTCAGGTACAAAAATAAGTGATTTTAGCATTCGTATGTCCGGTAATTTTTAGCGTCGAAACGTAATGTTGATTGCTAACTAGATCCATGGCTCATGAGCTGTGCATTGACATACGAATATTTCTTGTTTTCAGAAGTGCCGGTTGGTACAATTCTTCCGTACAGCGGTGCTATACAACAACTCATCGCATCAGATGATAAGTAGCTATTTTGTGATGGTTCTCAAGTATCTCGATCAACGTATAATGCATTATTTCTTGCTATTGGTATCACCTACGGAGTGGACGATGGTAAAAACACTTTCAATTTGCCTGACTTTCGAGCTCGATTTCTATTGCGTAGTCTTTACGACTAACGACATTTCGCTGGTCTTTGGTGGCAATGCATCTCACACTTTAACTGTAGCTGAAATGCCCACTCATAGTTATGACCAAGGATCACTCGTAACTGGCACGGTTCCAGCACATACTTATGGTGTTAATGATCTAGGACATAATCACGGCGGATCGACAAGCTCTAGTTCAACATCCTACCTTTGTTATTATGGCTCTGCAGGAGGAGCTTATGGTTCATATACTGGTGCTTCTGGTTATTTTCAGATTTCATCTCATACGCACACGATAAACACTGATATGACAGACATCTCCTTCCAAACAAGTGAAAGCCATTCTCATACGATAAATGGAACAACAGACTCAGAAGAATTAGGTCAACCATTTAACACAATGCCACCTTATCATACAGTTCACTATATTATTCGAGTACATATATAACTGTATTTTCTTTTCAATAAGTGATCTTTATCCAAGAGAGTAAAACGAAACTTTGCTGTAGTCTATACTATATTCCGAAGTGCTCGAATCTCGCATTTCTTCGTCTTCCACCTTGTTTTGACATGATGACTAAGATTTGACGGTTTCCTTTTCTGTAATATTTATCACATATGTATTTTTCCAGCTTTTGCTAATCGCCACGTCTCTTGATGTGTTTTAGAGTCCTTACAAACAATACAATGGCAATAAATAGCTCGTGAAGTCTATAATATCTTGAGCGTGTGTAGATTGTCTGAGAGGTATAGAATAATAGTAACACACAGAAAAAAGATGCTTATGAAGGAGAAAAAAAAATGAAAGAAAAAGATTAGGCACTTTCGAACAAGATTTCCTTCCTATGTGTTCCTTTTCTAATTAAAGTCGATCAAGAAAATCGAGTCAAAATGTTTACATTTATCTCTGAAGTATAATCAAACAATTACAAAAGAGGCTATTTGATCGATGTGAGTAGCAATGTATATTTTGATTGGATAAGTTTTCACTATTCGTCTGAATCAGATCCACTATCATCGTCTGAATATCGCACGTGAATCTGAAATGGATTTTCCAGTTGCTGAATTCGTTCGTTGAACCATGATGGCCGTTCATCTACGATACGAACCGGAATTCGATGAATGTTCTGTGCATGACGAAAACACCAGAGACGACGATTATTTAACGACCAAATATTTCCGCTTCGTGTGCGCACTGCGCTAATCATTGGTATATCGCGAACGCTAATTAAGTTGTTATTCAGATCGTCACGTACATCATGTATACTTTTACCGTTCAAAAAACGGTCTAAATAAAGGAGAAAATATAACTGTACTTATGACAAAATCAACGTACGACTAATGGATGTTTGCGTATAACGTATATCTTTTGGATTCATATAAATTACATCATCTTCATCTTCATCATCACTATCATTATTTATATCATTATCAAAATCATCGTTAACTTGCCATTCAAAACTACCATTATCTCTAACGATGAAATAGTTAGTATGATCCATCGGATCTAATACAAGATACTTGGTTTTGTTCAACTTTCTAACTATGTTCGAAGGTAAGTCAGGTGACCAACGAGCGGTCTCATCTTGAAACGATACCCACCATGTATCATTCGGACCAAATGCTATATCTGAAACCGTCGGTAAAGACTTCTGGCGGCCATTTAATTTGTTATGAAAATCAAATGGAACGTTTCCCCAAGAACACTTCAAATCATCATCTTGTATTACATATCCGTTATTACTATTAAACCAAACCTTTATCACGAAAGAGAATTAAAAATTAACACTACAACGCTTCAAGCGGTTTTCTTACTTTGTATGGTAAACTTGTGGAGCGCTCCAATTCATATTCTAATCCATCATCTTCTACATTATAATCCACGTCACCATTACTAAATCTAAATCAAGCAAGGAGTATAATCATCGATGAAAAATAGTTAAGTTCTTTGTACATTTTGAAATTATCTGAACGTATCATCAAAGATTTAATCTGAATAATGAATAAATACGCAGTGACACAAGAGAGCACTGGCATTTCTCGAGATTCATTCTACTCTGAGAAAAGAGTAACTTTTCATAACTACCTTAGAAACCATTGATCATCTGGTCCAAGCGTTAAAAATTCAATAGCAGATTTCTTTCGTCGCACCGTTTTTATCAAGTTATTTGATAAACCTTGATGTAACCATGAACCATCATCAAATAGTATAGCATAAGACGAGTCGTACAGAGCAACACAAGTAGGATTGTGAGATTCTGCCATTTTAGAGCAATAGTTCGATGAATTTCTAGAATTACAAAAAGGAAAATGTAAACATAGCATTCATCCATTAACTCTACGTTGATTCTAAAAAGAAGATGATTCGTTCTTCAAACGATTTTAAGTTTATATGTATTGCAGTCGTCCGTGCAGCAATCAGTGAAAAAAAACCCAGTGAGATGAAAACTACAAAAAAAAAGGTCGCTGTCGAATAAGACATAATCAAGATGTCACTGCAGATTTTAAATAACCTTTCCAAAGGAGTGTGCCGATTAATAGTATTACATCCTCACACTCATTTATATTCTCGATTTGAACGATCAAAGATGATTTTGAAAATTCATGATGGCTTTATTAGCATCACAACTTTCTTCAAAAGAATTAAATTGTTTGTAAATCGTGATATGCTCACTGATGTTTGATCTCAAGATCATGACGGATAACTACTTCGTCATGAAAGGTACCATTATTCGGTACTCTTTTTTCACGATAAGGGTCTGTATTTGAAGTATATAACGATCTGAAGAGAGTTGATAACGAAACATAAATAACGCAAAACAAATTCATCTTATCTTGTTATATGTATATAATTCATCATCTTTTACATAAAGCGATGCAGTTGGACGTAAAAAATACTTATGTAGATGAGGATAAAGTCGCATCTTCTTCATGTTCACACTGATCTGAATTCCATTAATCCTTCGTACTTCGGTAAGAATATACTTTTTCGCTGAAGTTATGTTCAATTCGAATAGTATCGTGTTTATGATACAAAAATCAAATTTTTGTAGAACATTTTTCAACATAAATAGTTTCTAGCATAGCCGTTTATCGACAACATCGTAATCATTTGAATTCTCGTCAAACATGGGCCATTATTTCCTTCTCGATCAATTACCGGTGGAAATATTGTATTATGTATTTACATACTTCATGGCACATGAGATTCTATTTAGTTTTTCTGGTATTAGTAATTATCTCAATGCTATTTATGGAACTAAACAAATTACCAAGCCAATTTCCGATCGATCAAAAAGGATGATTTTGATTCGATATGTGGACATACTGGACCTGAACAGGTTATTACACTGATACTTTCCGATGAAAGAGACACGCCTGCCCAATCCAAACTATTTTTTCCCAGTTTCAAATTGAACAATTTACTCGTTTACAACACTTAGCATTGATTGACATGGAATCTGAATCGTTGAAAAGGATTTTTCTGAACATGGACAAATTGAATTGCTTACATTCGCTCACATTTCTTAATTCAAACATTGAACATAGATGGGAGACTCCAAGATTTGCACAACAAAGTTTGACAATTGTAGCACATCGCTTAAATCGAATTCATTTAACAGCAAATGGAAACTTTCTCCTATCCATTTCTTTTCCCTGCCTTCAATATTTGAGAGTCGACAAATATCTCGCGCATGATCTCAAGACGTTGTTTCAACATTCAACTCAACTTCGGTCACTTTCCGCCGATCTATAGATGCTTCTAGTAATGTTCAATTGGTTCGACTTCACTTAAAATATCACCGTAAATGAATGTAAATTTTAAAAACTTTCCTCATATTATCATCATTTGTAAACAGAGGCATATCAATAAGTCAGATGGAACATGTATTATCTTATCTTCCTGGTTTACAACATTTACAACTCGAACTCAACGATTTACCGGATCTTTTCAACGTCAATCGATAGGAAATGTTAACAAATACCCTAATCACGTTTAATTTCAAATTCAATTCAGATCAGACGCTGAATAAGGAGATTTTCGATTCATTTTCTACTTCATGCTGGCTTGACAAAAAGCATTGGTTCATCAAATATAACGATCGTTGTGTGTTTTCCATCCCTCATTTTGCTCCTGAACTCCTTGGCATGTCAACAAATACAACCTTCGATACAACATCATCGGAATCAACATTAATATATTGTCACGTGAATACCATCACATGGAGACAACATGAGCTCAATTTGGATCATTATTTTATTGATACCAAAACACTTAATATGAAAATCGCCTGTACCATTCAAGATCTTGACATCGAAGATTGATCTCAATCAAGTAATACATTTATCTGTTATGAATGTAAATGATATATTAACATATGTATCCTTATATACAAACTACAATGCCACAACTGCGTAGATTATTGATTTTACTTTTTGTGTTTCTAAGTACGGTTAGATCAGTATGACGCTTTCGACTTGAACAAATTCACGAATTAGCAATAAAGATTGGAGATGAATTTAGTGAATACCTAACTGACGAATTAATTTAAATTTTCTCAAATCTTCAATATTTACAATGTACGCCTGAAGTCAATTCTGAACAAATCATGTACCGTTGAATCTATGGATTGAGACATTTGGAAAATGCGTCATTTACTACGAACATCCTATCACACTCGAATAACGGGAAATATCATGGAGATTTCGAGGCTATACCGTAAAACGATCACGACGAGTAGCAAAGAATAATTTGATATACCGAGTTTACTATTCATCAATGAGTGATTCGATGTATGATACTTATTGATGGTTTGGAAAAACAAGTAAGTCTATCGATCATCGGATCAAACTATTTGTTTGCTATTTTTCGTTTTCATCAGTAGTCCGACAAGATAAACGTATTATCGGCATTACTTCGGATACCGCTGTTTATCTGTCTTTGCAAAACGAAAAGCAAAAATTTGTCTCTTTCTTATCTTATTTGTTGTTGTTACATTTCTGATCACTTTTATTATTACTTTGAAAGGCCTCATGAAGAAGAATTTTCAAGTTTGCTCTATATGTTGGAGTGTTGGCGTCGGTATGTTCTGTACTGTAAATGTTCTTGCCTATTGCATTACAAATATAATACATGGACCAAAGAGCGAGTCCAACTATGACAGGCGTTCTGCAGTTACATGTATAGAACACACGAAAACTGGGAGGATTGGGGCTAGAAACCAGTCAAACTATTTTATCTGCTATATTTATTACGAACGAAATAAATTCACAGCAAATAGAACTTAGCACTGAATGTATGTCTCACGGCGTGGATGTGGGCGCTTTCTCTCGATCACATCGCTACGTAGCCATCCACTCATACATCTAAATTCGCAAGATATAATATTGATTATCATTGTTGAGCACTACCATCCTGTTTGCGAGTATTACACAATAATATTTATTTCCGGATAATTCTTTAATAAATTTTGGATGTGCTGCTCTTGACGGTAATCCATTCCGTTGAATCTAAGGTCCATCTTGGTAAATAACTATGCATAGAAGCAAATGTGTGATATAAGAAATGGATGAGAATGTTACTTTATTTTGTTGGAGAACATTAACAAAACGTTCGATTCCTTGGAATCCAACTCGGTTCCACCCGATATTCAATGTAATTAGTGTCTATAGGAAGCATAGAATAAATAGGATAGGATAGGATTGAAAATGTCACTTGATTTTCTTGTAAAGTATTTGCAAAATGATATGCTCCTGGGTCACCGATACTATTGTTATTGAGGTCAAGGGTAGTGAGTGTCTGCGTGTCGTAGTAAATGAGTAATCTCAGAAGAGATTAAGAATAGTACCTTATTTTGTCGAAGAGCACTAGCAAGATATTGTGCACCGCGGTTCTGGATTTTATTCATACTGAGAACTAGTATAGACAGTGTCTGTGCGATGCAATATATGAACAGTATAATGGGAGAGAGCGCGGATATTACTTCATTCTGTAGCAAAGAATTAGCAAAGTATTGTACTTCTTCCGCGGATATATAGGTGAAAATGAGGGAAAGTGTTGTGAGTGTCTATGTGAATAGTAAGTGATACAAGTGGAAAATGGAAATGTTACTTTGTTTTGCAGTAGAGCATCAGCGATATGTTTTGCTCCTTGTTTATCGATTCTATTATTGCTAAGATTCAGGGTAGTGAGCGTCTATGTGAAGTGGTAAATGAATAATTCGCGAATATAGAGTAAGAATACTACTTCGTTTTTTCGCAGAGCAATGGCAAGACGCTGTACTCCAAAGCCATCAATTTCTTTACACGAGATATCCAATGAAGTCAATGTCTATACGAGATAGTACCTAAATTTAGATAAATAGGGAGTTATGGAAGAATTGCGTCTCTATTTTCTTTGTCATTATTTTCGAGCTATTCGATTTGAGATTTTCTCTTTCTTATAGAAATGTATCGAGCAAGAAAGTAGTTCACCTGATATCGATGGTAGCTGTTGAGAATTATATTAAGTCGAACACAAATACTTTGTGCTAAACATATCATAGACCAGTCATCAAGATGGTCGAAAATTCGATAAACAAGCTCCACCGGCAATGTGGAAAGTGAGAGAACAGTTGTGTCAGGCATCGTCGACATTTATTTAAAAGATTTACGTTCTTATTAAATCGAATATATGATTGTGCAAATATTTGTCTGGATAAAGGAATGACTAATACGTAGTTAAACATAGGACTGACATTAACATTCACCACTATAGGACATTTCCATTAGCTGAATTAGAATACAGGTTAAAATATTTTCTCTCTAGCACACGCGCAACCTCTAGTCGCTATGATACTGTTTATTGAGATATTATCCTGCCAAAATCAAACCCAGCAACGCTAAATACAGACGTCCGTATTGTTCTTCTTGAGTTTATCAGTGACGAAATTAACATTAATATAATGCATATTGAAAGTCCGTCCATTATAACATTCCAACAACTAAGCGTACGCCAACAATAGTATTGACCTTCAATTAATTGCGGTATGGTAGATTTACGGACGACAATCGGCGCTTTTGTTAAAAAATCAACATCATGTGAAGATATGAATGTAACATCAAAAGAAGTACTTTTCTTTTCACTATCTAACCTTGTCGTCCGATCTATAAATAATGAAGATGAAAGGTGTAACGTCCACGTCAGCATGAAAAATAAGAAAATTATTATTTTTCTCTATGAAAATTCTGTTCATCTCGCCATTATATACTCTCACAACAGAAAATTTTACTACAACTATCCGAGTATTCAAAATATGAGTTGGCGAACCTCTATATTTACAATAGTATCATTAAAATTCTTCTTAACACCTACTTCGCATTGACACAAGGATGCTCCCTGGTGGCACAGATTTTAATCTTTCTATTCCAATTACCCTTCGTTCAGTTCTTATTGTAAATAACAATGAATTATTCTTAATTGATAATCAATTAATTAATATTTAATAATAAGTTAAAATTATCATCAGATTTGAATTCCTCGACCTCAATTACCTTTCCATCAAACTTTATTTCGTACTAATTAGTATGCAATAATGATACGAACGAGCGAACAAACGAAAGGAAGGAAGGGCAAACATCAACTTCATTTTTTGTGATAACAAGCTTTTTTTAACGGAAGTCCACACTCACAAGATAAGTTGAAGGATGCTCCTGACTAAATTGTGAATTGATTATTAAAAAAAAAACTGCTTTCGATTGTCGTAACGAGACAAAAATACAACAACTGTATGACGACGATGATTACTTAACAAAATTCAGAAGGATTCCGTTAGAGTGTACGAAGTGAGAACCATGTTTGAAATTGAATTTCAAATATCATTTGATAATGACATCAATCAGTGCAATATTTGCACATTTAATATCGCTCTGTCAAGTACGATGTACAATTTGAGAAAGAGCAAATAAAAAAAAAATATATCGGTACGTTAAAAAGAACAATCAATAGAGAGACGTAACAAATGAATAAAATACAATCGTAAACTACATCAAATTGTCTTTTCGAACGCACATATACGACCGCTGATCATTAGATGAAGATTGAAATAGAGACACTTCTTATTTATAAGTCACTCTTTCAGCTTGATGTTGATACGATTGATCGATTAAACAGCCGATATACTACACTGGCATTGATTGGTTGTTTCTTGATTATATTGGGAAAAATTTATGTAGGAAATCCAATCAATTGTTGGGGACCAAGTAAGGTTTGAAAATCGCACATATTTCCCATTCGATAGTTACTCGTTCTTCATCTACTATAGCGCAATTTCAGAGTGTTCATTTTACTTATGTTAATAGTATTTGTTGGCTCAAGGGAACTTATTATTTACCAACTAAGGAAAGTATGTTTTGTCGCATTACTAGTCATCATTCATCATGACTATTGTTGTTTTAGTTGAAATTCCCGATAGATCCATACCACGAATGTATCACGTGTAAGTGAGATAGATGATCCAAAACTAGTTCATCATATTCTCATGCTATCAATCTAGATCTTATTACCAGTGGACGACAATAGCTCTTTTGCTCATGGCTTTTCTATTCACACTACCGGGTCACACCTGGCAAACACTTTCATCTCAAAGAGGTGTAAATCTGAAAAATTTGATCAAAATGATCAAAGAAAATCGTTATAACAGAAAGGAACTCGATTACGTTCTTCGATTGATCAAAGCACAATTGGATATGACGAGAATTAAACGTTCACGTACTCTTTCTCATCTAAAATGTCGAATAGTAAATCCTATGGGTCGGCTAACATTGTTATTATTCATAGTCAAGTTTTTTTATATCATGAATACACTAGGTCAACTACTATTTTTAATCAGCTTTCTTTCATTACGACGTACTGATCTTAATGGTAATATTATTGGTCGACTATTCGAAGACCGAATGTATACCTACGAGTCTGTTCGATTTCCGCATGTTGTTATATGTGATTTTATGATTCGCGAACTAGGCTCCAATCAACATTGGTATGCTGTTCAATGCAATTTACCAATTAATATTTACAATGAAATGATCTTCTCTGTACTCGTAATATGGTTGATTATTCTGAGTATTGCAAATATATTTTCTATTTTTTTATGGATTTTTCTATTGACAAAGAAGAATCGAAAACGATTCATTACTCAATGCTTGCAAATGTATGAAAATATGGAAACAAAAATAATGATCGATAAGAAGAACTTGACAGAAAGTCATTTTATTGATTATATAGGTTTAGATGGCTTTGTTATTCTACGCGTCATTGGACAGAATATTAATGAACTCTGCATGATTCAAACTATGAGTTATCTCTATAAACGTTACAAAGGAAATCTTGGTGATATTAACAATCAGTCCGAAGCCCATATTGTGTAGATATCATTGGTAAAATCTTGAAAAACAATTTTCTAGATAAAATCAAACAAAACATCGTAAGAATCAAGTTCTGATACTGATCTTCATCTTTACTTTACATCAAATTATTATCACCCTCATTCTCTTAATTTTCCATTAATTATTTTGCTTATGTAATTGAATAGCATTGAAACTTCTTGATTGTTTTGTAGTTTATGATTGTTTCTCATCATCGTTTTCTTATAAATTGAATGAAATTTTTTATTTGATTTGTATTTTTTTAAATTTTATCGCACACGTTAACTCATGATTTATGTCGTGCTGTTATTTGAATAACTATATATACGCTAATAATAATCAGTCCTGACATTGAGAGCAACTTATCCAATGTACTTCAGACCGGCTTAAAATCTTTAGTTGACCGCTGATATTTTTGAATTCTGAAAAATATTGCATTCAACAAAATGGTAGAAAAAAATCAAAGGAGAAAAGGAGAGGCAGATTTTTACGAACGATAATCGGCGCTTTTGTCAAAAAATCAACATCATGTGAAGATATGATAATGTAACATCAAAAGAAGTACTTTTCCTTTCACTATCTAATCTTGTCGTCCGATCTATAAATAATGAAGATGAAAGGTCTAACATCCACGTCAGCATGAAAAATAAGATAATTATTAGTTTTTTTTAAATAAAAATTCCACTCAACTCGCGATTATATACTCTAACAACGTAAAATTTTACTGTAACTATCCGAGTATTCAAAATATGAGTTGGCGAACCTCTATATTTACAATAGTATCATCAAAATTCTTCCCACGCCTACTTCGCATCGACGTAAGAGCGCACTTTGGTGAGAAGAACCTTATAAGATCAGCAAGTTGCAGCAAGACAAAAAATGATTTGTTTTCTGATATTTTCCTCACAGATTGTTCCTAAGGAAGATATAGTCTCTTTTAAAAGTGATTCACTGCTAGTTTGTATGTTGAAATAGCGTAGAGGAAATTCAATTACGTCGTACTATTCACAGTTGGTAAGACCACGAATTTGATTGTTTCACATATTCTATCTAATACTAATTGTGAGCTAATTGAATATTTGACGAGCATCAGCATAGTCTGGAGAATTTTTTTTTCGTCTGAAATATTTATACAATAATTAAAACTAGCTTAATATCGTTAAGATATTTTCCAGACAGATGATTTTATCGACGACCTATACAATTTTATCTTTTTTAAGCACATCAGAATTGAGTGTAGATGTTTATAATAACACAAAATTAAGAATGAGAAAATTGGTAGTTATTCTTTATGAATAACGGTTAGAAAATGTCAATAGAATGTTACCCAATGCGATTCTTTTTTTAAAAAGATTTATATAGTATCAATTTGCGTTTGTCTGCTCACAGAGAAGAGAGACATAGACATTCCATACCTCAGAGTTTCAAATCAGGAAAATGTATAACTTCGTCGTTTTTTCATTATAGAATCTTCTTGCGCACAACTCAGTCTTTTTGATTATGTCGATAATCAATAATACAACAACAGCAGTCGTTCCTTTTGTTCCGATTAGACGACCTGTTCAGTTCAGTATCTTATTAATAATTGCAATCGTTTCTTTGCCATGTTCTATTTTTGTTCTTCATCATTTCTTTTCAAGCAAAACACTTTATCGCGCTGTTAACAATCATATTATCATTCTTTTACTCATAAGTAATTGTCTTCAAACTCTAACAGATNCAATTGTCTATTTATTCTTGTTTAACCATGATTCGATCATCCATCCAATATGCGAATGTACATCAATCGATTATCATCATGTTAATATAAGACCTAAATCTATCATGATTCATCGTTTAATGCATGTTGAAGAGATTCCTATCTTCTGTCAAGTCCATCATATTTTCAATATTGCAGGAAGATGTTTGTTTATCGCTGAACCATTTGACACAATTTCTTTCAATGAGAAGCTATGGTGTTATGAAGTTGAATATACAATTTATTAACTCGTTTAACTAAACGTTAGAAAAAGCGTTTTTGCTCTTTGTTTCCACAAAAAAGAATTGCTCTATTGTATCATCATAAGATGATACTTTCTTCAGCTATTTTGAAATTATATGTATGACAATAAACTGAAAAGTTGTTTTTTATTTAGACGAAGATATTGATGGTGCAACACTAGCTTTATTTGAACAAAATAATATCAATCAAATCTTTCCCCGAATAAAAGATCGTGTCAAATTCACACATGAACGTGCAAAACTAATTGCAAGTCTTAATGAGCAACAAGAACGTCGAGATGCATTGGTAATTGATACATTCGATTCTGGATCAGATAACAATGATACGCATAATTCAGTGGATGAAAATGAAAATATCACAGATAATAATCATCAATCATCTGTAAACTCAAATTCTTCACCTAATGATCATGAAAATATGAATACTCGTGGTCTACTACTGCATGAATATGAAGGACCAGAATTGACAGATAGAATGAAAGAATATGTTGATCGAAGTGATTTCTCAAAATTCAATCCACATACAAAAATGCGTAGAGATTTGTTAACTTTGCTTTTTGAAGATGTTACAAAATCTCATCAATTACTGTAAGGCATTTTCAAAAAGGAAGTTTTCAAATTTGTGTGCATTTTTTTATTTAGTTATCCTAGTAATGATAAATATCTTACAATGGCAAAAGGTTTGGCAAAGAAACTTCGTATTCCTTCAGCTCAGAGCTGGGCAACTCAACTCAAAAAGGTGTACAATTCAATTCAATTCAATTCAATTCATATAGCATGAAAATTTCTTGCAACTCATTCAATTCAACTCGTGAATCGAATTGAATTGGGCCCCGAGTTGTGCCGTTTTTAGGTAAAATATGTAGTTTTTAATGGGTGGAAATTAGGAAAATTACGTTTCACAACATAATAAAACATCATTAAACAGAACACAACACTTCATCTTGATGAAATTTGATAAATAATTGCTTGTCTCTCTCAATTAGTAGAATGTTTTTCTGAATTGAGTTGAGTTCAATTCGGAGACAACAAAAAATAATTTTCAACTCAATTCAATTCAACTCGCCAATTCAGAAAAATTTTACCTATTCAACTCAAAACAGCTCGTCAACTCAAAAAAGCATCCCCAGGTCGAACAATCCCATACTCGGATCCGAAACATGGATTTCCTGGATTTTCTAAGGGTCATCATACAATATAGCTAGAAAGATCACTCATAAAATTTGCAACAACCGACGGGATTTTTCTAGTCGGATTCCAATGCAATTCCGTTTCCAGGAATCCGATCGGATCCAGCATCGGATTTGTTGACTGGGTATATAAGATTATTTGAAATTTCCATGGATTTCTGTGACGATTTCTGATGGAAGAGATGTATGCGCTGATGGAACTACGCTTATTTCTTTCTTTCTCATCGAACGCATCGTTCTGATACAAGACACGCGTTTATATACTCGTCCACAGAGAAGAGAACGCAAGAATATGTCATATCGAAGTACATCGAAATGGACTGAGATAAGGACATAATACGGATAATCCATTAGATGAGAAAAATTGTATCGCGCGTACAACGCATGTCAGAGAGATTGTCACAATTTCCTATTCTTTTTTATATAATTATAATAAAATTTTAGGAAAGAGAATTCTCTTTTATTCTCTTTATAGATTTCATCTACATTATTTAATTTTTAGTCAACTCAAAAAGTAAATACAGCGTGGTAAATAATATTATTCTAGGAGGGAACACTATGATCTCGAGTCGGAGATATCTTGAATTTTATACCAAATGAAAGCTCGTAAAAAATGAGTGATGCCATAATCCCGTTACACCCGGTATTCGTCCAAAAGTAGACAGTTCACTACGTTACCATATGCAGCTGAGTCGGTGTATCCTGAAAAGCTGAGGAATATGAGTGGATTTCGTGTATCCAGCCAGCACCCTCACCCTCAAGAATGAAGATGCATGCAAATTCATTATCATCTACCCAAATTCTTATCCTCTCGATGGAAGTTACAACAGAGTCTCATCAACATTGTACTTTATAAGTCATCGTGTCTTTTTCGAAATTTTCAATTATATTGGATGGGAATATTTCAACGACTTCATTGTCTGGAGAGTAATATGTATTTCTATAGCTTTCCTGTAATTAAAATTCCTTGAATAAGGCCTTTTTAGTTCTATAAAAAGATTGAAAAATATTCGATTATTCACAAATACGTTCGAATTTCTCATTAGTGGTAGTCGAAATGAACAAATATAATCTATCGAATGATGGATCGTTGGCCATAGTACCAGTGGAATACCGATGGGCAAACAAAGTAATTATATGGGCAAATCCGATCAAAATACTCGGTTACTTTCTTTACATCAGGTAACAAATTTCACTGATCAACAACAATATTCAAAATATGTAACTCAAGCACCATCCGTTTCATCATCATACAGTGAATCCATATGGAATAGTTATGCGAAGTGGGTACTAGTATATCATGTATGAGTATACCATTACTATTATTTGCAGACACAGGCCGATGAATAGCATGAAAAATGATAAGGAAAAATGTCGCACGACTTGGTATATTTATCTTGGACTCTTGTTAACAGGCATGTTCTCGGCGACTTTGGCAATGAGTATTTATGCATTGGTTCGTGTACAGAAATTGACAACTATAGGTAAAAATTTCGTTTAATTCATCAAGTCCACGTAGAAAAAAAGTGATTTTAGCATTCGTATGTCCGGAAATTTTTAGGATCGAAACGTAATGTTAATTGCTAACTAGACCCATGGCTCGTGAGCTGTGCATTGACATACGAATATTTCTTGTTTTTAGAAGTGCCGGTTGGTACAATTCTTCCGTACAGCGGTGCTGTACAGCAACTCATCGCATCAGATGATAAGTGGCTATTTTGTGATGGTTCTCAAGTATCTCGATCAACGTATAATGCATTATTTCTTGCCATTGGTATCACTTACGGAGTGGGCGATGGTATAAACACTTTCAATTTGCCTGACTTTCGAGCTCGATTTCTGTTGGGTACTCTTACGACTAACGACACTTCGCTGGCCTTTGGTGGCAATGCATCTCACAATTTAACTGTAGCTGAAATGCCCACTCATAGTCATAGCCAAGGATCACTCGTAACTGACACGGCTCCAGCACATACTCATAGTGTTAGTGATCCAGGGCATAATCACGGTGGGTCAACAAGCTCTAGTTCAACATCCTACCTTTATTATTATGGCCCTGCAGGAGGAGCCTATGCTTCATATACGGGTGCATCTGGTTATTTTCAGATTTCATCTCATACGCACACGATAAACACTGATATGACAGATATCTCCTTACAAACAAGTCGTAGCCATTCTCATACGATAAGTGGAACAACAGATTCAGAAGGGTTAGGTCAACCATTTAACACAATGCCACCTTATCACACAGTTCACTATATTATTCGAGTACATATATAACTGTATTTTCTTTTCAATAAGTGATTTTTATCCAAGATAGTAAAACGAAACTTTGCTGTAGTCTATACTATATTCCGAAGTGCTCGAATCTCGCATTTCTTCGTCTTCCACCTTGTTTTGGCATGATGATTAAGATTTGACGGTTTCCTTTTCTGTAATATCTATCACATATGTATTTTTCCAACTTTTACTAGTCGACACGTCTCTTGAGGGTGTTTAGATTACCTGAGAGGTATAGAATAAATAGTAACACGCAGAAAAAAAGATGCTTATGAAAGAGAAAAAAAATGAAAGAAAAAGATTAGACACTTTCGAACAAGATTTCCTTTCTATGTGTTCCTTTTCGAATTGAAGTCGATCAAGAAAATCGAATCAAAATGTTTACATTTATCTCTGAAGTATAATCAAACAATTACGAAAGAGGCTATTTGATCGATATGAGTGGCAATGTAAGGTTGGCGACAGGCAAAAGTGGAGCAAATTTTTTTTTTGTTGAATTTTTTATGTGATATGATGCAGCTTGATGCGCTGAATCCGAATGTGTATAATTTAGTGACATAGAAAGTCGTCTTCCATGAGAAATCTTCAAAATACTACAAAAACCGAGGTTTTCGAAAAATCAGGATTTCCACTCGAAATTTGACAGTAGGGCTTTCAAAAAG